TACAGAATTTTGTTTCTGCTTACTCCTTTCCCATATTTTCCAAATTGTCTACAATGAGCAAGGATTCAAGATGTGGGGGGGGAAAAAACCATGCAACACAATTTCTGGCCCTCAAAAAAGTGGTTAAGAAACAAAAATCTATTTTCAGAAAAGCAGTCATCTTTATCAAGTATTCATTTACCTAAATAAAAGAACACATCATTAATTATTTGACTGTTTAAAAAGGTCCAACAGAAGGATGGATAAAAGTCTGCTGGAGTCTCCCTGAGAAAGCAAACGGGAGTGGCAAAATGTGCACTTCCATGCTTCCTGGTGCTTACTAACACTTCGAAGGGAACTACAAAAGTAAAACTTGTAAAATGTTTCATATTCACTAAAGGAAGCCAGAAAAACAAGGTGCTTTCAAAGAAGTCAGTAGAAGAATGGTCAAAAGACACGGAGTCATGGCACCACAGAGGGAGTCAGTCAGCTGAAGTGTAAAGAGCAGGCCCGTAGAGACCCAGTGCCCCCACTGCAAACTCTGCGCTCTGACAATGACAAACTATCTGACTTCCTGTAAGTTACTTGACTTCTCTCTCTTGGATTCAGTTTCCTCTTGTATAGTGCAGGGATAACACTGTCTATGTTGTAGGAACAGAGAAATAACATGTGCAAAGCACCTACAACATATCACTGCTCAGTGGGGGGAGGGATATAAATCAGAAAAACATTTTTACTTTTTCGCTTCCATTATTTATCATTTAAAAAAAAAATAAAAGCATCTATCAGTGAAGTCAGCCAAAGCTAGAGAAATACTATACTGCATCACAATCACTTCTTATATTATTGTGTTTAAGTATAACTTGGCAGACTAAGATTCAAACATAAAACCTACCTGAAGAAATTACAAAGCAATGAATTACATTTGTAAGAAGAGTAGCTACCACTTATCGAGCACCAATTAGAGATTATACTGTTTAAAGAAAACTAAACCCACCAAAAACGTGAAAGAGTAAGAGATGATGAATTCAACACAATGCCAGTCAAAATGCCAGCAGGCATTTTCCCCCCTCCCAAAAATTGAGCTGATTTTAAAATTCATATGGAAATATAAAAAAACAAGGCAACCTGGAAGGACTAAGCTGGAGAATTTACACTATGAGATATCAAGATCTATTATAGAGCTATAGTAACTAAAATAGTGCTATGTAGAGACAAAGGTAGACAAACTGATCAACAGAACAAAATAGCATCCAAACTCAGATCCCACATTATGACTCAACCTGAATGAAAACCAAGGCCCTCCTCTCTCACCAAGGGGGGAAAAAAATCCATTCTAGATAGACTGCAGATCTGAATGTAATGGTAAAATAGTAATTCTTCTCTTTTAGAAGAAACCATACAACATAATCTTGGAATAAGCAAGCTTTTCTTAAACAGGACATAACTACTAACCAGAAAGAAAAATATGATGAATTCTATTAAAATAGTTTCTGCTCACTGAAAGATTAAGAGATTGAAAAGGTGGGCGCCTGGGTGGCTCAGTCAGTTAAGCGGCTGCCTTCAGCTCAGGTCATGATCCTGGAGTCCCGGGATCGAGTCCTGCATCGGGCTCCCTGCTCATCGGAGAGCCTGCTTCTCCCTCTCCTCTGCCTGCCACTCTGCCTACTTGTGCTCTCTCGCTCTATCAAATAAATAAAATCTTTAAAAAAAAAAAAAAAAAGAGATTGAAAAGGTGATTAAAATGTTCTAAAACTGATTTATGCTGATGGTGCAACACTGAACTACATACTACTGAAATAGCTACATTTAATAATATGTAAAATACCTCTCAATTTTTTTAAAGAATTAAATTTAAAAGAAAAAAAAGGCAATCCACAGACTGAGAGATTGATAATACATCTGGAATATTAAGGAGAAAACAAAAACAAAAACAACACTTCAAATCAATAAGGAAAACACACACACATACACCCAACCAAAAAATGGGTAACACATTTGTATAGGCACTTCACAAAAGAAAATATCCAAGTCATATTAAAAAATAAAAAATCAACCAAACTACTGCCCAAAGACAAACATCATTTGCATTTTGGTACACAGACTGAAAACTACATGTGTAAAAATTGTTTGAAACATGCCCTTGAATCACTGCTTTTTCCATGTGTCATGCATATGTTAGGTTACTGATGACCCACATTTTCATTTTTAATGGTTTTACCAGTTTGCGTCATCTCATTATTTACTTACTCAACACAGGAAATAATGGACATTAAACTTTTTATTACTTTATACACCACTGCAAAGAAACCTTCATGCCTACATTAAGTCATTACCTCTTCTGATCAAATTCCTAGAATTGCTGGATCCATGAGAATGTGCATTTAATCAATGGATGTCTGAACGGAGTTTCATTCCCTTTGTCTAATCATTTCTTTTCATTAAAACAGACATCATATTACAAGTTATTAACTCCAATAGCCAATTCTTACTGCTTACATTTCTGGACCTATCAGTAAGATTGAGCATTTCCTCCTTCTTGATATACTTCATTCACTTGGCTCCCAGGACTCTGCATTTGGCAAGTTCTCAGACCTCTACTATAAGAAATGTTAAAGTTCCTCAGACAAAAGAAAAATAAAACCAGAAGTAAACTTAGATCTAACGAAGGAATGCAGATTAATGAAGAGAAAAATGGTAAAAGTTAGGGTATATATAAAATAATTTTCCCCCTGTTATAATTTTTTAAATATGACTGACTACCTGAGAAGTATAAAATTCTGCTGAGTGAAATTTTAAACAAGCCACAAATAAAATGGAAAGCTATCCTGTGCTAATGGACTGCAAGACTTCTATTGGTAATATGTCAATACTACCCAGACCAATCTACAGATTCATGGTAATCCCCATGAAAATCCCAACAGCATTTTTTTGTAAAAAACAACAAAAAAAAAACCCATCCTAAAATTCATGTGAAATCTCAAGGGCCCCCAAATAGCAAAAACAATTTTGAAAAACAACAACATTGGAGGGTTCACCCTTCCTGGTTTCAACATTTCCTACACAGCTATAGTAATCAAAACAATGTAGTGCTGGCATATGGACAGACCAATGGAACAGGGAGCCCAGAAATAAACCCTCACATATATGGTCAAATGATTTTTGACAAGGGTGCCAAAATCATTCAAAGGACAATCTTCTCCACAAATGGTGTTGGGAAAAATGGATATCCACATGCAAAAGAATGAAGTTGGACCCTTACCATACACCATATTATAAAAACCAACTCAAAATGGAGCAAAGACCTGAACATAAGAGCTAGAACTGTGAAGTTCTTAGAAAAAAAACATAAAGGAAAAGCTTCGTGACCCTCCACTTGGCAGTGATTTCTTAGATATGATCCCAAAAGCATAGGCAACAAAAGTAAAAATAGATAAATTAAACTACATCAAATTTAAAAACTCCTGTGCATCAAAAAGTATAATCAACAGGGTGAAAAGGCAACCTGTGAAATGGGAGAAAATATTTGCAAATCACAAAACCGATAAGGGATTAAAATCCAGAATATATAAAAAAAAAAAATCCCTAAAACTTAAAAGAATGAACAACCCGATTCAAAATGGGCAAAGGACCTCAATAGACACTTCTCCAAGAAGATATACTAATGGCCAAAAAGACTATGAGATACTCATCAGCATCACTCATTATTAGGAAAATGAAAATCAAAACCAATGAGATATCACCTCACACCTATCAGAATGACTACTATCCTAACAACGAAAAATAACAAGGATGTAAAGAAATTGGAATCCTTGTACATTGCTAGTGGGAATGTAAAATGGTGTAGTGGCTATGGAAAACTAAATGGTGCTTCCTCAACAAATCAAAAATAGAATTACCATTGAGTAAGCAAGACCACTTTGGGGTATACTACCAAAAGAATTAAAAGAATTTCAAAATATCAAGGAGATATTTGTACATTCATGTTCATATGGCAGCATTATTCACAACAGCCGAAAAGCGAAAGTAACTCAAGTGTCCACTGAAGGAACAACTGCTAAATATGATATAAACATGAAATGGCGTATTATTCAGCCCTAAAAAGGAAGGAAATTCTTGTACATGCTAAGACACAGATGAACCTTGAGCACATTACTCTAAGTGAAATAAGTCAGTCACAAAAAGACAAATACTTTACAATTCCACTTACGTGAAGTCTCTGAGTATTCAAATTCATAGAAACAGAAAGTAGAATGGTTGTTCCTTCTCCCTCTAGGGGAAATGAGGAGTTGTTTAGTGGATACAAAAAAGTGCTCAAGACTGGTTGTACAACTACGTGAATATGCTTAACACTACTGCACTGTATACTCAAAAATGATTAATATGGTAAATTTTATGTTATATGTATTTTATCACATAAAATTTTTTTAAAAACCAATAAACAGCTTCTGAAGTAATATTATATACACACATACATGTGACTGATTAAAGCAAAAACAGTAACAATGTATCATAGCCTTTGTAAAAATAAAATGTGAGACAACAATAGCACCAAGGATGGGAGGAGGGAAGCACAAGTATACAGATTTAAGATCTGTCTTTCCATATACATGAAGCAGTATCTTATTATTTTAAGACAGGCTATGATAAGTTCAAGACACACACTGTAAACCCTACAACAAACCACGAGAAAAATAAATTAAGCAAATGAAGTCTAATAAGCCAACAGTAAAGATGAAAATGGATTCACTGAAAAACTCAATGAATCCCAAAAAAGGTAGAAAAAGAGTAAAAAGGAAACAAAGAGCAGATGGGACAAATAAAAAGCAGTAAGATGGAATATTTAAAACCAAACATACTAGTAATTAATTAAATATAGGTAGTCAAAATTCTCCAAAATAAAAAGCAGAGAGACTGTGAAACTGGATAACTATATGCTCTCTAAAAGAAACCCACTTTTAACACAAAGACACACTGGTTAAGAATAAAAGGACAGGTCCGTTTCTGTATCAGTTGGGAAGGACGTTAGACTTGAGGTTGGTGTTGAGGAGAATAACCACCATGACCTCCAGTGCTTTGATGAAACCTCAGATGCGAGGCCTTCTGGCCAAGCGTCTGCGATTTCATATTGTTAGAGCGTTCGCTGTATCCCTGGGGGTTACAGCTTTCTATAAGTTTGCTGTGGCTGAACCCAGAAAGAAGGCATATGCAGATTTCTACAGAAATTATGATTCCATTAAAGATTTCGAGGAGATGAAGAAGGCTGGTATCTTTCAGAGTGCAAAGTGATTTTGGAATGTAAAGAATTTCTTTGGGTTGAGTTCCATTGAAGTTTGTCACTGACCTGTGTTCCTGAACTATGAAACACAAATATTGGGTTATGGAATAGTTTGTCTTAATAAATAAACAACTAACAAATACTTTGGACGGTTAAAAAAAAAAAAAAAGAGTAAAAGGACAGGAAAAAATATATACTGTAAATGACTAATCAAAGGAAATCTAAAAATCAAAGAAAATCTGTATTAATAGTAGACAAAGGAGATTTTAGAGCTAAGAATGTTATCAGAGATCAAGTAAGGTATCTCATAATGATAAAGGGGTCAATTTATCAAAAGAATAACAATCCTAAATATATTTGCCCTTGTCTAACAGAGCTCCAAAATACATCTGAGGAAAAAAAAAACGACACAACTCAAAGGAGAAACAGACAAACCCAAATTTATATTTGGACACTTCAACACTCCTCTCTTAGTTATACATAGAACAAGCAGACAGAAAAGAGTAAAGATATGGAGGACTTGAATAACACTATCAGCCAACTTAACCTAATTGACATTTATAGAACACTCTACCCAACAAGAGAACACATTCTTTCCAAGTACACAACAAACATTCACCAAGATAAATGTTGCTCTGGGCCATAAAACAGGTTTCAATAAATTTTAAAGGACTGAAATCATATAAAGTATGCTCTAGGATGACAGAATTTATCTAAATATAATCTAATAGAAAATCCCCAAAAGTCTGGTAATCAAACAATGAATCACTAAATAACATGTGGATCAAAAAAGAAATCACAAGGAAAATTAGCAAATATTGTGAACAGGGGCGCCTGGGTGGCTCAGTTGTTAAGCGTCTGCTTTCGGATCAGGTCATGATCCCAGGGTCCTGGGATCGAGCCTCACATCGGGCTCCCTGCTCAGCGGGAAGCCTGCTTCTCCCTCTCCCACTCCCCCTGCTTGTGTTCCCTCTCTCGCTGTGTCTCTCTCTCAAAAAAAAAAAAAAAATTTTAAAAAAAAAAAAAAAAAGAAAATATTGTGAACTGAATGAAAGTGAAAACTCAACATATTAAATACTACGGGATATTACTAAAGTGGTAATTAGAGAGAAACTTACAGCATTAAATGCATCTTCAAAGCAATAATCCAAGCTTCCATTTTAAAAAACTAGGAAATTAGCAAATTAAACCCAAAATAAGCAACAGGAAGGAGATAATAAAGATGAGATCCAAAATTAATGTAATAGAAAGGAGAAAGACAATAATGAAAAATCCATGAAACCAAAGCCAAATCTTTGAAACAATTAATAAAATTGATAAACCTCTAGCCAGACTGATAAGGAAAAAAATAGGTAAGAAACAAATTTCCAGTCTCAGATATCAAAACCAGGAACATAAATACAGATCCTGTAGACATTAAAGGAAATAAGGAAATATTGTAAATTTACACTGATATACTCCACAACTCAAATGAAAGGGACAAATTCCTTAAAAGATACAAGAATACCAACAAGGAATAGATAACCTCAGAAACCCCATATCTATTAAAGAAATTGGCTTCACTGGTGAATTTTATTTAGTACTTATGAAAGAAGTAATATCAATTCTATAGAAACTTCTAGAGTAGATGAGGCAGAAACATGCCCAACTCATACTGAGGCCAGCATTACCCTGATACTAAAATCTCTCAAACACAACGCAAGAAAAAAACAGACAAACATGATTGCTGTGAATGTTCTTCTATATTCATTTGTCAAACCTAAATGAACTGCAAACTTAAAATTGGTGAATTTTATTATAAGGTAAACATCAAAAAAGTTAACTTCTAAAAAATTTTAAGTGCAAATCAAAAACAAAAACTTACCCACAAAGCAAATTCAAGGCCCAAATAGCCTGATTAGTAAATACTATCAAACATTTAAGGAAGAAATAACAGTAATGTTTCATATTCTTTTAAAAAACAGAGAGGGTGATTCATTTTATTAGGATAAGCTTAATGCTACCACCTGAGAAAAGACATTATTGCCTTCAGGTACAAAGGAGCAAAAACCCTCAACAAAATATTAGCAAATCAAATCCAAGATTATATAAAAAGGCTAATATATCATGATCAGTTGGGGCTTTCCCAGAATTAAAGACTGGCTGAATATTCAAAAGCTCAATATAATACACCACATTAACAGGATAAGATGGTAAGTTATATGATGATTTCAATACAAGTATTTAGGGCATATAACAAAATTCAAAACCCTCTTATGATTAAAAACTCTCAGGTAACTTTCTCAATGTGATAAAGAATGTATATATGCATATGCATGTGCACCCTCCCATCTATAGCTAATGTCATATTTAATGGTCCAATGGAAAACTTCCCCTTGTACTCAAGAACGAAAGTAGAATGTCTATGAATGTCTATTCTCATACTTGTATTTCATACAAATTTCACTAGTTATAGCCAGTACAATAATGCAATCAAAAATAAAAGCATAAATGTCAGAAAAGATCCAGATGGCATGACTGTCTACACAGAAAATCCTAGAAAACCCACAAAACAAGTTAAATATGTGATGGTAGCAAAGTCATAGGATACAAAGAATTAAAAGGGCAAATGAAACTGCATAAAACTCAAGCCCTCAGCATAACCAAAAGGAAGAGAACATAAGTAAAAAAATAAATAGATTCTGGGACACCAATATATTCCTGCCATAAACCTTCCTGAAGAGCAAGAGTAGTTCAGGATAAAATGTATAAAAAAGAAAAAGAGAGAAACAAGAAACAGACTGAAGATGGAGATGGACATAAAAGCACATTAAGTATGAAAATTCTGAGAAAGAGTTCTGATCAATCAGAGTTGATTACAGATAAGGGACTTTAAAAAAAGGATGAGAAATGCAAAAAAAAAAAAGAGTGTAAAAGGTGAATAGAGGGAAGCTCTTCAACTTGATAAAAAGAATCTACAAAAAAACCTAAACCTAACATCATACTTAATGGTAAAAAACTTGGGAGTTTTTATGCTATGATGAGAAACAATTCAAGAATGTCCCCTCTCATTACTGTTTTTCAACGTGGTAGTGGAAGTCCTAGATAATACAGAAAGACAAAAAGAAAATAAAAGGTATACAATGGGGAAAAAAGAAATGCAACTGTCTTTGATTTCAGATGACATGACCATCTATGTAAACAAAAAAAACAAAACAAAACCTGACCAAAAAGAACTTCTGGAATTAATACACAATTACAACAAGGTTGCAGAACACAGAGTTAATATACAAAAGTCATTTGCATTCATATACACCAGCAATGAACAAGTGGAATTTAAAATTAAGAATACATTGCTTTTTACATTAGGATCTCCAAAAATTAAATATCTAGGTATAAAGTTACCAAAATATGTATAAGATCTATATGAGAAAAACTGCAAAACTCTGATGAAAGATAAGCAAAGAACTATAATTGGAGAGATAGTCCATGTTCATGGATAGGAACATTCAATATTGTCACGGTGTCAATTCTTCCCTACTTGATCTAAAGATTCAAAACAATCCCAATGAAAATCCCAACAAGTTATTTTATGGATATCAACAAACTAATTCTCAAGTTTATACGAAGAGGTAAAAGATCTAAAACAGTTAACACAATATTAAAGGAGAAGAGTAAACCAGAAGACTGACACTTTCCAACCCCAAGAATTATTACAAAACTACAGCAGCAATCAAGATGATGTGGTACTGTGAAAGAATACACAAACAGATCAATGAGACAATACAGAGCCCAGAAACAGACCAATATAGTCTGCTGATATCTGACAAAGGACTAAAGACAATACAATGGAGCAAAGACAGTCTTTTCAACCAACAGGACTGGAATAATGTAGGAGTAAATCTATGATCTTGGGTATGGTGATGACTTTTTAGATACAACACCAAAGGCATAACCCATGAAAAAAATAACTGATAAGCGGGACTTCATTAAAATTAAAAACTTCTGCTCTGTGAAAGACATTGTCAAGAAAAGAGAAGCCACGGACTAGGAGAAAATATTCACAAAAGATACATCTGATAAAGAACTGTTAGTTAAAATATATAAAGAACCCTGAAAAAAAATAAGAAAAGAAACAACCCAATTTTAAAAATGGGCAAAGGACATGAACAGAAAATGGCAGTAAGTACATGAAAAAGATGTTCAACATCGTATGTCATTAGGAAATTGCAAATTAAAACAAGATACCACAATACACCTATTAGAATGGCCAAAATCTAAAACACGAACAACACTAAATGCTGATGAGTATGTAGAGCAACAGAAATTTTTCATTCACTGCTGCTGAGAATGCAAAATGGTATAGCCACTTAGGAAGACAGTTAGGTAGGGGCGCCTGGGTGGCTCAGTGGTTAGGCATCTGCCTTCAGCTCAGGTCATGATCCCAGGATCCTAGGATCGAGTCCCACATCGGGCTCCCTGCTCTGCCCTCTCCCACTCCCCCTGCTTGTGTCCCCTCTCTTGCTGTGTCTCTCTCTGGCAAATAAATAAATAAGATCTTAAAAAAAAAGGAAGACAGTTGGGTAGTTTCAAAACTAAACATACTCTTACCACATGATCACACAATTGCATTCATTCCATAGTATTTACCCAAAGGAGCTGAAAACTTATGTCCACAAAAAAACCTGCACACAGATGTTTATAGCAGCTTTATTCATAGTTGCCAAAACCTGGAAGCAATCAAGATGTCCCTCAGTAGGTGGATAAACTGTGTACATCCAAACAGTGGAATACTATTCAGCACTAAACAGAAATAAGTTATAAAGCCATGAAAAAACACAAAGGGACCTTAAATGCATATTACTATGTGAAAGAAGCCAGTGCGAAAAGGTTATACATACTATGTGATTCCAACTATATGGCATTCTGGAAAAGGTAAAATTATGGAGACAGTGAAAAGATTAGTGGTTGGCAGGGGTTAGAGGAAAGGAGGGATGAATAGGCAGAGCAAGATTTTGAGGGCAGCAAAACAATTCCATATGGTGCTGTAATAGTGAATATGTATCATTATACATCTGTCAAAACCCATCCAGTGAACACCAATGTAAACTATGAAGTCTGGATGAGGATGTAGGTTCTTGGATTGTAGTAAAAGTA